TGCAGTTGGCGTCCCAGGATTTCAGGCGCAGGGGGTCGCCCCTTACACAGGAAAGGCTGATAAATGCCCCTCCCCCCCCCAGTGCACTTTCCTATGAGTCTAGGTTCAAATGTGTGTCTAATCCCTCCTCCCTCTGAAAAGCGATCCGAGTCCGGCACCCGTCACCTCCTCACTGCCTGTTCTAAACCCGAACAAACACGCCACGACCACATGTGTCGCATGCAATTTCGTAGCGTTTACGGAGCTGTTTGCTTGAATGAGTTGCGGTCGGCGTGCTCGCCCCCCCCCCCTGCCGGTCGCGATAGCGTTTGCCGCAGCAACGCATTGTGATCTTGGGGTGCCATTGCAGCTTAAGGGAAGGGGGGGGTACAGGGGTGCGAACGTGTCTCAATGCCCCCCCAACTCCTAACCAAAGTTTTTGTGCACCCCGATTTTAATTTATTGGGGGGGCCAATTCAGAGCCAGCGTGCTGCAGTCACACATGCGTTTTCCTGCAGTGAAGTCCATCGGATTCAGCCCGGGTTCACACCGATGCGGAATTCGCAGCATTTTCTGTGCAAATCGCCCCCCGTTCATGCGACCCGCAGCGGGTGTGTATGTTAAGTTAGCGACACCCCGAAATCGGTGCACAAAACGCGGTGTGAACACCCGTGCGATCCGAATCTAGTGCGGACCACAAGAAGGGTCCTGCGTCTTTTCGGTGCGATCTGAGGCCATACAAAATGTTCGGCTCCGATCGCACCGCGCAGAATCCGTATGTGATTTGCGCAGGAATACGGCGCGGTTTCTGACCGAATCACATGCGATGTTGCGCCCGCGCCGAGGAAGCCGTGTGAACGAACAGACTGGCAGTGCGTCTGAAATGTCCCAAAAACGCAGCCGGCGCCATATTCGACATGCCTGTGCGTGGCGGTGCGCTGCAACACATGAGGAGCCGCGACGCTTTAGCGTGTTGGGATGCCATCTACATGGGATAGTGCCGCAGTGCAGCACGCTAAGCTGGGCGACAGGCGTTCGTAATGGTTGGGGCGACACGCGTGTTGTTGCGATGCACCGCACCGGCCCCGACTGGTCAGGACGTGTGAATCGCTGTGGGATCTGTGAATGAGGAGGGCGCGGTGTAATGTAATCGATCGCTCGGGGGGGGGGGGGATATCGATCTGGAACATGAAAGTCGAAGGATTAATGACACGCAACCGTCACGGAGGACCGAGACCTTGAATGTGGAGGCCGAACATCCCCTCCCCCCTCCTTCCACAGAGAAATTGCATGGAGGCTCAGCTGGGGGAACCCGTTATCAGCTCCGCGCCGAACGCCTGCACCCGATTGGCTGCTCACTTCCCCGCAGCTGAGGAGGGAATCGTCTCCTTATACCAGACCTGCCATGTGAGCAATGTATTCCCTGACCACACCCGAGACCACAGGGACCGTGACCGCACCCGAGACCACAGGGACCATGACCGCACCAGAGACCACAGAGACCACAGAGACCGTGACCACACCCGAGAACACAGGGACCATGACCGCACCGGAGACCACAGGGACCGTGACCGCACCCGAGACCACAGGGACCGTGACCGCACCCGAGACCACAGAGACCGTGACCACACCCGAGACCACAGAGACCATGACTGCACCAGACCACAGAGACCGTGACCACACCCGAGACCACAGGGACCGTGACCACACCAGACCACAGAGACCGTGACCACACCCGAGACCACAGGGACCGTGACCACACCAGACCACAGAGACCGTGACCGCACCCGAGACCACAGAGACCAAGACCGCACCCGAGACCACAGGAACCTTGACCACACCCGAGACACAGAGACCGTGACTGCACCGGAGACCACAGAGACCATGACCGCACCCGAGACCACAGGGACCGTGACCGCACCGGAGACCACAGAGACCATGACCGCACCCGAGACCACAGGGACCGTGACCGCACCGGAGACCACAGAGACCATGACTGCACCCGAGACCACAGGGACCATGACCGCTCCAGAGACCACAGAGACCACAGCACAGTGCGGGAGACCCGCCTTCTACGCACATTTCCCGCACCGCGTGTGCGATCCGCAGCAGGGGTCCGTGTAATCCTAACCAGACCACAAGCGCAGTGTGCACGCCTGCACCGGGTCACATGGTACTGCAGGACATATTGTGTCCTGTCATTTATTACCCCACACCGAGATCGCAGTACCACCCCCCACCCCACCCCCGACTTCATCTGCTTATATCTTCTGAAAGGAGAAACTGAGCTGAATCGAAATCAGAGGTGACAATCCTGCAAATCCTGGTGCCTGTGCAGTTCACAAATGTCTGACACAGATCAGCCTCTGCTGTAGCCTCTCATCTTGTGACCAGATACAAAGTTACAATGTACAGTCTGATCACTGGGGGAGGGGAGACTGAGGAAACACTTCTTCCTGCCTGCAGCAGACTGATGACATCATCTCAGCCTAGGCGCAGTCACTGAGTGGAGCCCAAGCATGGCTTGTTACTGATGACAGGTGGAGGATTGGTCCTGTCACTGTATATATGTGGCCTGTATATATGTGGCCTGTATATGTGTGGCTGTATATATGTGGCCTGTATATATGTCGCTATATGTGGCTGTATATATGTGGCCTGTATATATGTCGCTGTATATATGTCGCTGTATATATGTGGCTGTATATATGTGACCTGTATATATGTGGCCTGTATATATGTGGCTGTATATATGTGGCCTGTATATATGTGGCTGTATATATGTGGCTGTATATATGTGGGCTGTATATATGTCGCTGTATATATGTGGCTGTATATATGTCGCTGTATATATGTGACCTGTATATATGTGGCTGTATATATGTGGCTGTATATATGTGGCTGTATATATGTCGCTATATGTGGCTGTATATATGTGGCCTGTATGTATGTGGCCTGTATATATGTCGCTGTATATATGTCGCTGTATATATGTGGCCTGTATATATGTCGCTGTATATATGTCGCTGTATATATGTGGCCTGTATATATGTCGCTGTATATATGTCGCTGTATATATGTGGCCTGTATATATGTCGCTATATGTGGCCTGTATATATGTGGCCTGTATATATGTCGCTGTATATATGTCGCTGTATATATGTCGCTGTATATATGTGCTATATATATATGTCGCTGTATATATGTGGCTGTATATATGTGACCTGTATATATATATGTGGCCTGTATATATATGTGTGGCTGTATATATGTCACTGTATATATGTCACTGTATATATGTGGCCTGTATATATGTCGCTGTATATATGTGGCTGTATATATATGTGGCCTGTATATATATGTCGCTGTATATGTGTGGCTATATATATGTGGCTGTATATATGTCGCTGTATATATGTGGCCTGTATATATGTCGCTGTATATATGTGGCCGTATATCTGTGACCTGTATATATGTGGCCTGTATATATGTGGCCTGTATATATGTGGCCTGTATATATGTCACTGTATATATGTCACTGTATATATGTGGCCTGTATATATGTCGCTGTATATATGTGGGCTGTATATATGTGGCTGTATATATGTCGCTGTATATATGTGACCTGTATATATGTGGCCTGTACATATGTCGCTGTATATATGTGGCTGTATATCTGTGACCTGTATATATGTGGCCTGTATATATGTGGCCTGTATATATGTCGCTGTATATATGTCGCTGTATATATGTGGCCTGTATATATGTGGCCTGTATATATGTGGCCTGTATATATGTGGGTTGTATATATGTCGCTGTATATATGTGGCCTGTATATATGTGGCCTGTATATATGTGGCTGTATATATGTGGCTGTATATATGTGGCCTGTATATATGTGGCTGTATATATGTGGCCTGTATATATGTGGCTGTATATATGTGGCCTGTATATATGTGCTGTTGTATATATGTCGCTGTATATATGTGGCCTGTATATATGTGGCCTGTATATATGTGGCTGTATATATGTGGCTGTATATATGTGGCTGTATATATGTGGCCTGTATATATGTGGCTGTATATATGTGGCTGTATATATGTGGCCTGTATATGTGTGGCCTGTATATATGTGGGCTGTATATATGTGGCTGTATATGTGTGGCTGTATATATGTGGCCTGTATATGTGTGGCCTGTATATATATGTGGCTGTATATATGTGGCTGTATATATGTGGCTGTATATATGTGGCTGTATATAGGGGACACGTATTATATGTGGCAGGGAATCCACTGTGGGGGATCTTAGCAGTGAATGTGACTTACGCCGAACATTCACTGGTGGTGAATCCATCCCTGCCACGTAAGCCCCATGCACCTGCAGTGGATGGTGGAGGTCAGACTCCTCGCTCTATGAACGCCCGGCTCTGTGTTCATGTTGGACGCGGTACTCGGCGCGATCTTCTCACGTTTATTGGACTTCGTCTAATAATACCTCCGGAGCCGACCTGCAGCTTTCCTCGCCTTTGTTCGCTGCGCCGTTTGTGGGATTCGGGATCTGAGACGGGCGATGAAAACAACAGCCGGGGGCTCCATGACGAAGGATTTCATCTCGGCAGCCAGCGCCTGACTCATCCCTTCTGCCGCGCACCGCGCCATTGTTGTGACAACACAGGCGGCGGCGGGGGGAGAAATTTAACGAGGGAAAGCACGCCGCCAGAATCGACCTGTCGAGACAAACGTTTGTGAGCTCCGCGGCAGTCGTCACTCATCCTCGCGCTATTGTCATCCTCATCCTCGCGCTATTGTCATCCTCATCGTCATGTTATTGTCATCCTCATGCTATTGTCATCCTCATCCTCACCTCATGGGCCGGCCATCTGACCTGCAACAGGCACATGTGTTCACATCAGCTGCCCGTGCCGAGGATCCCTTATCCAGTGAAGGGGGGATGAGGCTTTCCTCAAAGGTCGTCCTCAACAGGTTCTCTGCTCCAGGTCATCCCCATCCTTGCTGACCTGCAACAGGCATATACATTATATTGCCAAAAGTATTTTCCCCGCCTTCCCAATCATGTGATTCAGGTGTTCCAATCTCCTCCCAATCATGTGATTCAGGTGCTCCAATCCGCTCCCAATCATGTGATTCAGGTGTTCCAATCCCCTCCCAATCATGTGATTCAGGTGCTCCAATCCGCTCCATATCATGTGATTCAGGTGTTCCAATCCCCTCCATATCATGTGATTCAGGTGTTCCAATCAGCTCCATATCATGTGATTCAGGTGCTCCAATCAGCTCCTTATCATGTGATTCAGGTGTTCCAATCCCCTCCATATCATGTGATTGAGGTGTTCCAATCCCCTCCCAATCATGTGATTCAGATGTTCCAATCCCCTCCCAATGATGTGATTCAGGTGTTCCAATCCCCTCCATGTCATGTGATTACGGTGTTCCAATCCCCTCCATATCATGTGATTCAGGTGTTCCAATCCCCTCCATATCATGTGATTCAGGTGTTCCAATCCCCTCCCAATCATGTGATTCAGGTGTTCCAATCCCCTCCCAATCATGTGATTCAGGTGTTCCTATCCCCTCCATATCATGTGATTCAGGTGTTCCAATCTCATCCCAAACATGTGATTCAGGTGCTCCAATCCCCTCCATATCATGTGATTCAGGTGTTCCAATCCCCTCCATATCATGTGATTCAGGTGCTCCAATCCCCTCCATGGACACATGTATATACAATCAAGCCCCTATGCATGCAGGCGGCTTCTACAAACATTGGTGAAAGAATGGGTCGCTCTCAGGAGCTCAGTGACTCCAAGCGTGGTCCCGTGATAGGTGGCCACCTGGGCAATAAGTCCATCCGTGACATTTCCTGGCTACTAAATATTCCACGCTCAACTGTTAGTGGGATTATAACAAAGTGGAAGCAACTGGGAACAACAGCCACTCAGCCACCAAGTGGTAGGCCACGTCACATGACAGGGCGGGGTCAGCGCATGCTGAAGCGCACAGTGCGCAGAAGTCACCAACTGTCTGCAGAGTCAATAGCTAAAGACCTCCAAACTTGGTGTGGCCTTCAGATGAGTCCAACAACAGTGCGTAGAGAGCTTCATGGAATGGGTTTCCATGGCCGAGCAGCTGCATCCAAGCCTTCCATCACCAAGTGCAATGCAAAGCGTCGGATGCCGTGGTGTAAAGCACGCCGCCACTGGACTCTAGAGCAGGGGAGACGTGTTCTCTGGAGTAACCAATCACGCTTCTCTGGCAATCTGATGGACGTGTCTGGGTTTGGCGGTGTCCAGGAGAACGGTACTTGCCTGACTGCATTGTGCCAAGTGTAAAGTTTGGTGGAGGGGGGATTATGGTGTGGGGGTGTTTTTCAGGGGTTGGGCTTGGCCCCCTAGTTCCAGTGAAGGGAACTCTTAAGGCGACATTTTGGACAATTTCATGCTCCCAACTTTGTGGGAGGAGTTTGGGGATGGCCCCTTCCTGTTCCAACATGACTGCCCACCAGTGCACAAAGCAAGGTCCATAAAGACATGGAGGAGCCAGTTTGGGGTGGAGGAACTTGACTGTCCTGCACAGAGTCCTGACCTCAACCCCATAGAACACCTTTGGGATGAATTAGAGCCAGGCCTCCTCCCCCGACATCAGGCCCCTCCCCCGACATCAGTGCCTGACCTGACAAATGTGCTTCTGGAAGAATGGTCCAACCTTCCCATAGACACCCTCCTAAACCTTGTGGACGGCCTTCCCAGAAGAGTTGAAGCTGTTATAGCTGCAAAGGGCGGGGCCAACTCAATATTGAACCCTACGGACTAAGACTGGGGGGCCATTAAAGGTCATGTGTGGGGAAAGGGCGGGGCCAACTCAATATTGAACCCAACGGACTAAGACTGGGGCCTCATCCCTTTAAACCTGAACACACGTTAACGTCTCGGGTTCTGAGGCTAATTGAATGCAGATGAGGCGCTGAGTGAGTTTAATTACCACCTTAATCAGCCACAGAACCTGTGAAATTAGTATTTGTTCGGTTTTAAAGGGATGAGGTGGCAACCATAACTAAGACTGGGATGCCACTAGAGTTCATTTGGGTGGAATAGTGCCCCATCATTGGTGTCAGTGCGAGGAATAGTGCCCCATCATTGGTGTCAGTGGGAGGAATAGTGCCCCATCATTGGTGTCAGTGGGAGGAATAGTGCCCCATCATTGGTGTCAGTGGGAGGAATAGTGCCCCATCATTGGTGTCAGTGGGAGGAATTGTGCCTCATCATTGGTGTCAGTGGGAGGAATAGTGCCCCATCATTGGTATCAGTGGGAGGAATAGTGCCCCAGCATTGTTGTCAGTGGGAGGAATAGCGCCCCATCATTGGTGTCAGTGGGAGGAATAGTGCCCCATCATTGGTGTCAGTGGGGGGAATAGTGCCCCATCATTGGTGTCAGTGGGGGGAATAGTGTCCCATCATTGGTGTCAGTGGGAGCAATAGTGCCCCATCATTGGTGTCAGTGGGAGGAATAGTGCCTCATCATTGGTGTCAGTGGGAGGAATAGTGCCCCATCATTGGTGTCAGTGGGAGGAACAGTGCCCCATCATTGGTGTCAGTGGGAGGAATAGCGCCTCATCATTGGTGTCAGTGGGAGGAATAGTGCCCCATCATTGGTGTCAGTGGGAGGAATAGGGCCTCATCATTGGTGTCAGTGGGAGGAATAGTGCCCCATCATTGTTGTCAGTGGGAGGAATAGCGCCCCATCATTGGTGTCAGTGGGAGGAATAGCGCCCCATCATTGGTGTCAGTGGGAGGAATAGTGCCCCATCATTGGTGTCAGTGGGAGGAATAGCGCCCCATCATTGGTGTCAGTGGGAGGAATAGCTCCCCATCATTGGTGTCAGTGGGAGGAATAGTGCCCCATCATTGGTGTCAGTGGAGGAATAGTGCCCCATCATTGGTATCAGTGGGAGGAATAGCGCCCCATCATTGGTGTCAGTGGGAGGAATAGTGCCCCATCATTGGTGTCAGTGGGAGGAATAGTGCCCCATCATTGGTGTCAGTGGGAGGAATAGTGCCCCATCATTGGTGTCAGTGGGAGGAATAGTGCCCCATCATTGGTGTCAGTGGGAGGAATAGTGCCCAATCATTGGTGTCAGTGGGAGGAATAGTGCCCCATCATTGGTGTCAGTGGGAGGAATAGTGCCCCATCATTGGTGTCAGTGGGAGGAATAGTGCCCCATCATTGGTGTCAGTGGGAGGAATAGTGCCCCATCATTGGTGTCAGTGGGAGGAATAGTGCTGTACTGTAGGTGTCAGTGGAAGTGTTCCCGATTGAAGCAATGGACCAAGGATGAGGCTTTCTCACAGCTCATTAACGTTTACAATAGAGCCGAGGGCCGGGTTAAGGTTCTCTGCTCCGGGTCATCCTCATCCTTGCTGACCTGCACCAGGCACACATGTCCATATCAGGTGCCCTGACTGTTCACAGCCCGCATCCCCGTGCCAGGTTCTCCCAAAGCGGTGAAGCGAGGATGAGGCTTTCTGACAGCTCAGCGACTTACATCCCGCAGCTCATTAACTTTTCACAGAAGAGTCAAGGGCGGGGCGAAGTTTGCCCTCGTCAGGTTCCATGTCAGTTGTTGGCCACACAGAGGATGAGGATGACGGAAGCTGGAGGTTGCACCTTCAAAAATATGTCAGCCGTCGCAAAATTGTTGGGAAATCTTCACAAGTTGCAAACAAATCTTCAGAGAACTCAGCCAAATCGCAAACAAAACGCCGTTTTTAAATCGCATCCGGTGTGACCCGGGGCTAACTCTAACATGCGACTTTGTGTCCAATCTTTGTGGACCCCCTTCAAGGCAATGCGACTTACAGTCAAAGCGACTTCCTGCACTCCTTTGGTGCGACTTCAATCGCACTCAATACTTTACTATTGGTGAAAAAATGCAAAACGCATCAAAAACACGTAAAAAAACCGCAAAAGGCACCGCAAAAACGCATGAATCGCAACGCGCATGGGTGTACACCAGGCCTTATATCTGCTCAGTGGCACCTCTGAAGGCCAAGCCACGCCTCATTTCATTCAATCCAGCCACAAGTCGCACGTTGGGGTTGAACCCTGGTTCACACAGAATGCGCAAAATAGGGCGCGACTTGCCATGCGACTTTGGTCTGACAAGTTGGTGTGAATCAGGGCTGACCCTAACATGCGACTTTGTGTCCACACTTTGTGGAACCCCCTCAAGTCTATGCGACTTTGAGAAAGTCCCTCCACTACTTTGGTCGCATCAAAGTCGCACCCAATACTTTCCTATTGGCAAAAAAAACAGAGGATGCATCAAAAACGCACAAAAAACTGAAAAATGCACCGGAAAACCGCAATCCAGCCACACATGCGCGGGGGGGGGGGGGAATTGGGCTAAAAAAGCTACATGGTTGTTTTCTCCCCCGAGGCTGCTGTGAGCTGCGCCAGGGGAGGGGGATTACCTCGGCTCGCTCGTTCCGTACACGTGTTTCAGGCTGATACGGTTCAAATTCTGCTCTGCCAAAATAAAAAAAATATATGCAATTAAAAATTTGGGAAAAATGGGGAAAGAACAGCAAATTTAGGAAGAGAAAAGTACGGCGGTGTGTGGGGCGCGTGGATGGCGGGTGTGGGGCGCGTGGATGGCGGGTGTGGGGCGTGTGGACGGCGGGTGTGGAGCGCACGGATGCTGGGTGTGGGACACATGGGGCGCGTGGATGGCGGGTATGGGGCATGTGGACAGCGTGTGTGGGGTGTGCAGATGGTGGGTGTGGGGGGAGCGGACGGCAGGTGTGGGAGGCGTTGATGGCGGGCGTGGGGCGCGTGGACGGCGTGTGTGGGGGGCACGGACGGCTGGTGTGGGGCGTGTGGACGGAGGGTGTGGAGCGCGCGGATGCTGGGTGTGGGACACATGGGGCACGTGGATGGCGGGTGTGGGGCGTGTGGACGGCGGGTGTGGAGCGCGCGGATGCTGGGTGTGGGACACATGGGGCACGTGGATGGCGGGTGTGGGGCGTGTTGACGGCGGGTGTGGGGTGTGCAGATGGTGGGTGTGGGGGGAGCGGACGGCAGGTGTGGGAGGCGTTGATGGCGGGCGTGGGGCGCGTGGACGGCGTGTGTGGGGGGCACGGACGGCTGGTGTGGGGCGTGTGGACGGAGGGTGTGGAGCGCGCGGATGCTGGGTGTGGGACACATGGGGCACGTGGATGGCGGGTGTGGGGCGTGTTGACGGCGGGTGTGGGGCACGCGGTTGGCGGGTATGGGGGCGCGCGGATGGCGGGTGTGGGGCGCGCAGGCGGAGGGGTACAGGTGAACCGGGCCTCTTTCAGCGGGTTGGCAGCTTCCAGAGGTGACGGGCCGGGATGTGGATGAGCCCAGATTACCCAGAAGCTCCCAGGATTTGCCCCGCAGCGCCCCCGGGAGCCGGGTCAGGGAGGTGCAGGTATTTCCAGAACCAGATTTGGGTCAGTGTCTGTTTCATAATCCCGGAGAGGTTTCCATGGCAACCTGCACATCCTCGCTCCGGAATACCTGAAGATGCGGCTCGGAGGATGGGAGATAACGAGCGCGATGACGTCACCTTCCCGCCACGCGGTGCGCTCTCACCTCATCCCCGGAGAGAAATGAAGATATAATGACGGACGCCGGGGGGGGGGGGGGGGGGGGGGGTGGTAATGCAGCTGCAGAGGGAAATAAAACCCGACTTTCCACAATGCCTTTCATTCCAAAAACGTTACTTTGTAAGAAAACAAAAAACTGTCACATGAAGAGAGCGATCCGATGTTCGGGGGCAAGAAAACGGAGAGGAGCTTCAGGGAAACAATGGCGTCACGAAGGTGGGGGGGGGGGCAATAGGGAGAGAGAGGAGAGAGGAGGATGCTTAGAGGAGAGGGGGGGAAGGATAGGATGGAGAGGGGGAAGAAAAAGAGAGGAGAGTAAGGGCGAGGAGAGGAGAGCAAGGGCGAGGAGAGCAAGGGCGAGGAGAGGAAAAGAGAGGAAGGGCAAGGAGAGGCGAGCAAGGGCGAGGAGAGGAGAGGAGAGGAAAAGAGAGGAAGGGCAAGGAGAGGAGAGGAGAGGAGATGAAAGGAAGGACAAGGAAAGTAAAAGGGAGAGAAGAGGAGAGGAGATTTAGAGGAGAGGGAGTGAAGAGTTAGGAAGGGAGAAGAAGAAGTGGGGAGAGGAAAAAAGAGGAAGAGTAAGG